GAGCTGAGCCAACAAATCCAAGCCGAGGCCGAAAAGGCTAAGCCAGAGGTGGAGAAGCGACTGAAGGAAGTGGAGGCAGAGATCGAGAAACTGCTCAAAAGTCAAGCTACCAGTGCCGCTAAATCCAATGGCACCGTTAGTGTGTCAGCACCGGTAGGAAATAATTTTCCATTTGTATATCTAGTAATCAAAAGGTGTACTCCAACTCTGCTTTTATACAACTGTCCTATGAAAGCAGAGTTGAAGTATACCTTTTGATTACATGTATGAATACAATAGAAAATAATTTTTACTTTTTATCAGAGGGCTGTCCGATCGATAAGCCTTTCCACTGGTGACACCGTTAATACCAGTGCCGAAGGAAATGATATTATTTCGGAGAAAATCGCGGAATTCCTGAAACAATACGAGTCGCAGATCACGGAGGCTATCCAGTCAGCCGTACAACAACTGGCCGCACAGGTAGCCAAAGACCTGGAGGCGTATCTGAAGCAAAAGGTCGAAGAAAAAGCCGAAGAGGTTAAGCCTATCGTCGAGAAACAGGTTCAGGAAATTGTGGCCGAAATCCAGAAGCTTATCGAAAGCAAAGTAAAACCTATCAATGGGACAGTCGTGTCCATTCACGCATAGATTATTTTTTATAGTACTTTAATTTTTATTTAATAAAGCATTTTAAAAACAACCATTTAGTTAAATCATGTTAGCAATATGCTAAATATTTAAATAGTTTTATAACATTGGTGATTTATATAGTCGAAAATATGGTATGAGTGTGTTATATAAGTGTTTTAACTCTAACAATTAGTACCTTTTAACACACTATAATCTTAATACATATTATCTGTATAATCTTAGATAATAAAACACTATAGAAACACATTTCATAATAATACTCACAGATTACCACCAGGCTGAGAGGGAGCACCTATATTGAGGAAGTGTTTCTCCAATGTCTGGTCATCGGTGTCGGGTATTTTAATCTGTCCAAATAATTCATTGTTGAATGCTACTTTATCAAGGATATTATCCGACATAAATCTATCAGTATACTGGGTGTCTGTAAATAATCATGTTATAAATATAATAATAAATAATATATAAATATATTATATTATATTATATTGATCATAAAGTGTATTTTTAATTCGTTAATAATTTAAATATGTAAATTTATTATATTTACCAAATGTTGACAATAAAAGAAATGATATGATTAATGAATTTAGTTTGTTTCCCATGTATGATTTTAAAAATAAAACAAACTTTTTTATTATTATGTATATTCACTATAAGCATGTATTTTTTAATTTAAAAATGTGTTTTATAATTAAAATTTAGATTTTTAATATTAAATTTTATAATTAACTTTCTTAAGTAAATATAAGCAAAAGGAATTTAATTATACTATTTATGAAAACAATTTTAAACATAAAAACCTGTTTTTATATTTTAAAATACCATATTTTGTACATTGTATTAATAGTTTTAATTATCCTTTACAAGTATATGCATTCAAACAAAAAATATATTTTTTAATTAACAAAAAATTATTAAACTGTTGATTTATAATTTATTATATTTAATTTATGATTACAAATGGTTTCGCAAAATTTGACAAAGAAATTTAACCTGGTGCAACAAAATACATTTTTATTTATGATTATATTTGTTTTTGTTTAATTTACATAGTTTAAATTAGTTTATATTTTATCGAAACTTGTTTCAAAATATTATTACCTGTAAAATAACCTTTATTTTTAAGTAGATACAATATAAATATTTTTATGGGTGTTATGGCAATTTTTATAATTTTAATTTTTTTGCAATAATTTATTTATTAGTGTATAATAAATATGCCCATATTATAAGAAATAATGTTTTTATAATTATATTATAAATATAATACTAAACTCCAGACGTTGTTCTCGTTTATTGAAAATTTTATTTTACTTCCTAGATAAGTTTATATGGATACCGCATTAACCTAGATAATTTATATAAAAACACATTATATCTTATCATACAAAATAGTAATTATTTTATAACGATTTATATATTTTAGTATGTAAAATTAAAGTTGTTAATACAATGAATACCTTGATTATAAGAGTTATTGTATTACTAATATCTGGTATTTTGACAATTTAAATAAAATTACTGTAAATATTATTTAAAAATAACTTGTACAAATAACTTTGTATCTATTACTACAGGATACGTGTTGTGTGTTCATAGTTACCAAAACTCAATTTTTAATAAAAATGACCTTGATAATGAATTAAAGTCGAAATCATATCCTAATTATGGATTAACATCAAGGTCCAATACTTTAAAACAGCAAGCACATTTAAATAAACGTAAGTAATTGCATATATTTGAATAACATGTGTATTCATGTCTAATAATTTCAATAAAATCACAGATAAACATCAAAAACCAATTAAAAAACTTACAAACAATGGAAATTTACCTGGTTAGAATTTAATATACTTTATAATATTACATTTTAATTTTTTATATTTAAATTACTATCAAATATATTATAAAATTAAACTAAATTAATGTAACCCGTTTTAATTAATTACAAAGTTATAGCTGACTATAAAAATAAATGTCATCAGGGTAATACAACTACATGCGACTTACCAGTAAGCTGTGTATGCAGATTTAATCCTGGTAACGGTGTAACTTTGCGAGGTGTTTGCAACGGGGGCACCGGGGGTAACGGAAAGCCCATACCTATACCAGTTTATATTTGTATTATATTAGGCCTGGCTAATAGTGACAAATGTGACATACCTAATATAAATGATCCGGATGCTGCATCTAAGATTGAGCTATTTTGCACGGCAATAAAACCTTCAATAGTACCATGATAAACATGGTTAGATTTAATCTGGCTCACTTTTAATTTTTGTCAATAAATTATAAGACTAACCACTTATTTAACTAATTATTGATAATATTTAAAATTTCTCATTGTGAAACTAAAACAAGTTAAAACTATTTAATTAGTAAAAATATAATTAATATCCATTGTATTCATTAATTTGTATTTGTATCTCAAACTGTAAATTAATAGCAAATATATTTTTACATAATGTACAAAATGCATAATTTTAATTGTTGGACTATACTATTCAATGAACTCTATACTTGATAAAACTTTTAATGTTTAAATATTATTATTTATATTCTGTATATTTTTTACATTATGTATATGTTGTATTGAGTTGGGTGATTCAGATTAGTACGTAGGGAGAGAGAAAGGTGTGGGTGAATGAGTAATTCAGAATGACCAAGTTGTAATTTGAAAGTCATAATATTACAGGCGACTCTGAAGTATTACGGCTGCATATAAATGGCCCCCTAATGTAAAACGAAACTAAACAATGACTTATAGATTGTCCAGGCTTGCCTTAAAAAGGTAGCCATAATTTAATGTTAGGACTTTAAGGATTTTCTTATTAAATATGAAAGTACTTTCAAAGAGCAGTCCAAATATCTTATTTATGTCTTGTGACTTAGGGTCCGGCCGCAGTGACCACTTTTATCGGCAAATATTTCTATTTATACATAGACTAATTACACATCTAATATAGTAGTTATAATAATTGTAATATTGCATGATGTTTCAGATCAAGGTTATTAATCTAAAAATTTTTATTTGCAAATATAATACAGACACTTAACAAACAAAAATTGATTTGTAATAGTATTTGAATATTTGAAAATAAAAACATTGAATAAACAAATTCATTAATAGAATTAATATATTAATTGTAACAAAAATACTTATAACCTCTATAAAATAAATTACTGCATTGTTTCAAATCTAAATTATTAAACTTTATCAGACTTACACAATAAATATTGATGTTCAATATGACATTTATTGTTCAATAGTTCTTATAGTAATTTAAATTTATTAACCGCATTGTACCGTATGATACTTGTATGAAAAAATTATATAAATTAAAATCATTTATTGATAAAACTTGTAACTAAAAATTAATATAATTTTTGATAATTGGATAAACATACTCTTGCTTTATATGCAATTAATTTTTAAAGTTATAATGCTAAATGTGCAGATTGAGTAAACTGCATGCATGTCCCCACCCACAGTCATAATTACAAAATATTTATTTAAAATAAAATCCTATAAACTGTACACTAATTTTGTTATTACGCATTGATATTACTATTAATAATTATGAAAAGTAATTGGTTTCGGATCGAAGAAGACTGTTAATTAAATTAAAATTTATAAAATATTCTGTATATCGATAAATATACTTCGCACATTAATGATCTATACATCATTTTAAAGCTTATATCACCCTCTCATTTTTGCAATTTATTATGCTTAGCTAGCTGCTATATATAAATAGAAATTTATGTTTGAATATTTTACCATTGAATTTTCCATAGACATCAGTAAAAATTCCTTATATTCAAGGGCGATTTGTGAGAGAACCACAAGATCAATTTAGCATACTATACCACATATGAAAGTTCATACTTTCCTCTTCAGAATTGCTATATTAAGTTTTTATCTATCTCCTTTTGCTCAGCATGAAACTCTACTCTGCAAGAGTGTCCATTAAAATAATATTTTTAAATGAAACAAAAAAGTGATCAATGTAGATTTTAAAATGCCCTACTTTACTCTTATAAACCCACTTTACAATAATATTCCATCTCATTTAGTTTTTGAGATATAAACCCGCAAACATGGTACCTCATGGTGAAACACGCTGTAGTTAAAACTTTTATTAAACAAGTATATTTTATTTTGCTTGTATATGTACAGGACTGATAAAAATCAGGAAGCTGATGCAATTGACCAGGACACACAAAACTATTACGTCTACGTCTACTCGGGACTCATTGGGGCCCTGTTTGTGACGGCACTAATGCGGTCGACCACGTGGTTCATGATGTGTATGCGGGCGTCCGTTAATCTACACAACAGTATATTCACGCGTCTATTACGGGCACCGATAGCCGTGTTTGACAACAACCCCGTCGGTAATTATAATACTTATAAATGAAATGGTTCATGAACATTTCATAAATATACAAAATTAAATTTTTCAAAATAACCAAGTTATAAAATTATTTCTGTTAATTTTAAAGTAAAAATATTAAAATCTTTAGTTTAGTCAGTATCAATTTTATCTATTCAAATATTGATAGCATTATTAGTATAGCATTATTACAATACTTTATGAAAACAAATAAATGCTTCACTTTTATAATCCATTTAAATCTTACAATAATAGGCCGAATGCTAAACAGATTTACCAAGGACATGGGAATTGTCGATGAACAACTTCCCTCCACTGGTTTCGACTTAAATCTCGTAAGTAATATTATAATTAGCTTGTTGTTTTTATTTGTATATACTTATTATTTGTGAATATTTTTGCTTTAAAATAGACATTAACGCAAGCGATTGGTATTATAATAACGGTGGCTATAGTTAACGTTTACCTAATTATCCCGGCTATTTTCTTAATCATTCTTACGGTGATTGTGAGGGGCATATACATCAAATCGGCCAGGGATATTAAACGTTTCGAGGGACTAAGTATGTGCTAATAGTAATGTAATTTTAATTGTAAATTTAATTAATTAATTTACATTTAATAGCGAGAAGTCCAGTGTTTACTCACGTGAGCACAACCCTGAATGGGTTGGCCAGTGTGCGGGCCTATGGGGCACAGGAGGCCTTTGAGCGCCAGTACTATGTCTACCAAAATGACCATACTGCCACCTGGTTCCTATTTGTATGCGCATCCCGTACCCTGGGTCTCGTAATGGACTGGCTATGTGTGGGCTATATCGTGGTCATAGCCGTAGTGATGATGATATTCCCCGAACTGATTGGGAACGGCGGTAGTGCCGGACTGGCCCTCTCATCAGGTGTGCTATTAATACATAATTATTTTAAATCAAATAATTATAAGTTTTTGTGTATATATTGTTAGCCCTAATGCTGACGGGTATGACTCAGTGGGGGGTCAGACAGTCGGCTGAGTTGGAGAGTCAGATGACTTCAGTCGAGAGAATCATAGAGTACTCGAAACTACCAGAAGAGGCGCCGTTACACTCGGATGACAGACACCGACCCCCACCTGACTGGCCCTCGAAGGGTCAGATAGAGCTGAGGAATATGTCTCTCGTATACGAGGGCTCAACCAAACCGGTGCTGAAGAACTTGTGCTGTACTGTCAAGAGTGGCGAGAAGATAGGTATAGTCGGACGTACCGGTGCCGGCAAGTCGTCCATCATATCAGCCCTGTTCCGGATGGTGGAGCCCA